GTTCTTCTGTCTGTTTGCAGCTCATTTTCTTTTTTCTTTGGTCTTAGCTACATATTGTCCCCAGGTATGATAAGGAGAGGAGCGTGACCATGTATGCCCACTCACACAGACTGGTCCGCATCCAATACTCAGATCTACCTTTGACTTGTCTTAATACATTAGATACTTTTGAGGTTGCTGAAGTTTATTTTAGTCCCACACAGTGTACTTTCCTACCACCTGTAGTTAAAGAAAAACCCATGTATTTTGCTCACACACACTGGTTATAAAAGAAAACAGAGGCTCTCTTTTGTATCTACAATGCTAGCACCAAGCTCTTCTTGCATTCATTTGTTAACTCAAAAGTGCAGGGAGCAAAAGTGCGAGAAATAAAGCACACACAGACCATTTCTGACACGCTACTTTTCTTTTTTTCCCCACAAGTTAATCTCCACGCGGGCGTGAATAAACTTCGCAGTGGTTGCCAGATCTCTGACTGACAGCGGAACTACACAGTGGAGTGATTGTGTGGCAGCAGGGCCGGGGTTAACTGCATGGCGCTCCTCCTAACTGCCCTTTATTTACAAAAGACGCACTGTCGCTGCTGCCAAAATATGTTAGAAGCCATTAGCTGCTGATCTGACTTTAAAGCTCAGTCCTGCTAATCTAATTTAATCTGCCTCTGTGGTTTTGCTGATTGCTGGAGCGGATCAACGGTGACACTACAAGTGCAGGCGGGCTTTGCTGATGTGATGCAACTGTTTGTTCTGCAACAGCAGACGCCCACGCTGAACGGTGCTGCTGCTGTTGTTGGTTTTTTGGGGGGTCTCTTACATGAACACTTCCTGTCGTTGGTTGAATTAGGCCTTCACGGAATGTCTGAGTGGTTTCTCTGGTGATAGTCAGCTGCTCAAGATCAATAAGCACGAAGCAAGGTATGATGGGAAATGACCTGAAAAAGATGCATTCCTTAATGCGCAGCTTTTGACTTTGTCTAGATAAAGTGCAAAAATGTATAAGGGTAGATATTTATTGAGGACAGCCTGGTGTAACATCTAAATGGTGCAGGTGTGGGTGGAGGTGGGTGCTTTGGCTACTCTGTTTCTTAGCCGATAAAAAAAGAGAAAAAGAAGTAGTTGAAGAGACAGGAAATGAGAGAAAACAAAGATATGAGGACAACAGGATGATGGTTTGACACTTTCTTTCCTGTGAAGTCTCAGGTTTTCACAGTCAACAGCAGCACGGTACACCTACGGACTACAAACCAGCAGGTCACAAACCTAACAGTAAATTCAACTTGTCCTAGAAACACAACTGTCTGCACTAATGTGTTTCCAATTACGGTGATCTGTACATGTGAGGGAGTCTCAAAATACTCACGATGACCTTAGCGTGTAATTGAAACCTGTGATTTAAGTCTTCTTTACCAGCACAAAATTGCAGTGTTCCCACGAGCGACATGCTTCACCATGTCGGGCCCCAGAGAAAGCGAGCTGATTCTCTCCCTTCGGCTGAGAGGGGGGTGGGTGGGTGGGGGGGTGTTAGTCATTCAGCCACACGAAAGCTGTCACATGACTGGCCGGGGCACAACAGCAGTCATTCTGCTCCTTCGCTGCCACTTGGCTAGCGGGACACATGAGTGGGCCGCTAAAGTGGCCGGACACGCAGCAGGATCCGGATTCAGTGTGCTGAGCTGCCACTCAGGGACAGGGGGCTGAAATACATGCGCTGCATGTACTGAGCACGAGAACAAAAATCAGGGTTTGTGCTGCTTTTGTTTTTGTACTTCATCCAAGTGAGCACAGTCAACAGCGGCTCCATATGCACATCTATTAATGGTCACAAGTCTTCTATTGTCCTTTAAAAACTTTTCAAATTCTTCCAGTCCTCGTCACCCGAACTCAGCAACCACACACAGCTACACACCCAAACACAACAGCTGCCTGTTTAGAAAGCATCCGAATACTGAAAGTGTTCTTATTCTGCTCATTTCCTGCTCCATGGTATATTCTGGAGTGGCGTTACGTGATTCACAGTTCAGCTGGACCTCAGTGCACCCCTTCACCTCTGACACACGCTGGTTTCACTTCCTTACCAAACTAACCCGACCCAACACGCGCCATGGTCGTTGCTTTCTGTTGTTAGCCCTTAGCATCTAGGTTTAGCAATGATACAAATAAGATAATA